TTATCTTCGTCCTGAATAATTACGTAGAATCACATATGGGACGTTCACACTAATACGACGCTAGAAACATTTCTCACAATCTCTTTAGAATATCCGTTGGTTCTGTAATATAAGTGGCAATTTTCTATTTTAAACATCAGTCGTGTCAGAAACGGAAATGCCTGTGTAATAGGCTGACTGGACGCCACGCTCTGCAATTTGACTTTTCGTGATTGGTAGGGATTATATGATACGCTATAAACAACGGAGAATGATAGGATTATTGTAGGGAGACGACGAAACTCTTCTAAGAACCAGTGGATCATCGTATACGTATCAAACTATGGCCCAATCATGCTCGTAGAAGATCTCCTGCCGTAGAAGAGATTTCTGGGACGTAAATAGTAAAATAAAAGAGAATCAAAAGTTTAAGGACAGTACTAAATGAATATAGTAGCCCTGGACCTTAAGTAATAGAATAGGATAATTTGTACATAGAACCATTCAATCAAGCACGCAGTCGATTGTAACTAAACGCGGTCCTGTAATCTGTCCCCGTTCTCATTAGATACATTGACCAAGAAGATGCTGAAAAGGGCTAATTGACCGCGCGAACAAGAAGACGGATTAAAGAAGCCCTGAAAGAATAATGTGTGTTTTGGAACGACTCTAAACACCTACGATTTGCATCCCATCCCAAGATTTGTGCTATGTAAACAGATGGTATACGTTGAGCTGATCCACTATAGATCTATTGAGTTTTTTTTTATTACCTAGATCCTGTTATCAAGAACATGAATGTATTGATATTTTACTTTTTCGGTAGATCCATTGACAGATCTTCGACAAAATTAGTTTTTAGTAACCATGGGGATTAGTTAAATTCGCTTTGGAGGCCACAACGACCTGACGACACTTTGAAAGTTTAGTTGTAAACAAATGCGTCTTCAAAACGACCACCATCCGTCATGAAACAATGTAAGGAAACCGCGCATTCTTGTCTATTTTTAGCCCCACATTAGTATAAATAGATACAGTGGGGTCTCTTTTCAATGTTTATACGCGGGCTGTGAAGAATTTTAATGGGAGTCAATAATATAACACATGGTTCGCATACGGTGAGTATACCGTTTAGATGAAATAATATAGGTGATTTGATAATATAGAGTTTCCGTCTGTGTAAAACAATTTTTGTTTAGATGCTGATAATCCGAAGCATCGAGTTCCGAAGATGAAATAAAATCCAACACAGAAAATATAAAGGAGTTCAAATTGAGCTGGGCTAGGCACATTACGAGGCGTGTTTATTTACTGGAAATTAAACTATTTTTCCGGACTTAAATCGCGTATATTTGTTTTTTCAAACAAACCAACGCGTTTCCGGCCCTTCACAGGTCCCATGGTCACGGTTGACTGAGGTGGTACAGTCATCAACCAGTTATGTCTAATATTAATGCAAATCACCCTATTTATTCACTATAGTTACAAAAGTTATTAATTAAATACTTTATTTTTAATTTCACATAGAAACATTGCAATTTACGCTACATTATGTTTTACAAATGATTTTATTTTAACAATATGAATTTTTATTAAGTTAAATTTATTATTAATTAATAATGAAAATTAGAATACATTAAAACATTTTAATGATTTAATTCATCAGAGGAAATACTGGATCCCAAACTGGTGGTACGGGGAAGCATCTTCCCTGTTGAAATTAGGATGTTTTTTAATTTCAATGGCCTCTCGCAACATCCTGAGTACATAACCTGGGGTTTGTCAAACTTCAAATAAATATACGCGATTTAAATCCGGAAAAGTAGTTTCATTTCCTATGAATAACAATTGCAAAAAAAAGGTTTAATATTTATTTTATTTTATTGGATAAGGTACAGCAACAGATTACAGATCAGAATGTATATCAATGAAAACTATTCCACTTGAATAAATATAACCCTGTAATCCAATTATAGCTGTACACAACACTTTAGTAAAAACAGTAGATAGTAATACCTAGAAGAAATAATTTAAGTATGCTTAAAAAAATTAGAAAAAGAATAAAAGATATAAAAACCCCTACATAACGAAAATTAAGGTGGTTGATTGGAATTTTACTTCTAAAACTACCAGTATACACACCATGGTGAGAACAGATATGGTGTTGATGACAATGAAGTAAAGTGAAAGCGAATGGTGGCTATAAATTGTTGCAGAAACTTGGGATGTACTTCAATCGAAACGGGCAGACGACATCGTCGTAAGTTACGAGCCATAAGCAGTTGTGGCAAATGGCACAAACTACGGAAGGCCTATTACCAGTGGTTGTCAAATCGCGGCTCGCGAGACACACGCAACTCTTTGGCTTATTGGGATGGGAGAGTGAAAAGGGGTTAGCCTTAGCGAACGTACCTCAATCAGACTGAAGACATTTCTAGCAAAAACTAGCTTAGGAGTACCCTATTTATGTCAATAACAATGTACCTACCTATAGTTTGTTTCGCTGTACTCTTGATATTTGTCTCTGTTGATTAATTAATTTGCCAACCACTTCTCCATAACATCCAGTAGCTGAAGTCGAGCTGTAGATTGCAATGATGAGGCTCATGGTTGTCGTCCATGATTTGACCTGAACAAAAGTCAAGATGTATGCCGAACCTATGCGATCGCCTAGAAGACGCCTGACCTCTGGCTATTAGTGGTATTACGCGCACAAAAAGTCCATTCATCGGGTAGTTAGTCACAATGTATAGCATACATTGCTGGGACACAATTTTATTTGGCCTAAATGAATATTCATAACCTTCTCTTACAGATTAACACAAATGAAGCAATTATTTTCAACTGTTACGTTTTTATAATTAGAGAGTTAAAGTGGTATATTTTTCCAATGCAAATTATGTGAAAATTCTTTCGTGCAGTGTTAGACTTGCCAATTTCTCCGTATTTAACATTCATTAAAATCTTTTTAGACACGCGATCGGTTTTGGAAGAAATACTCAAGAGACTTGTTAATGAAAAGGTGTTAGAAATTTATATGCCACGCTATAATGATTCCTTTTCTATTTTTAAGTGAACTCGGCAAGCTAAGGGTACAAATTTGGGAATGCAAAAGTGTGTGGTATGGCGAAAGGGGTGGTTTCCGCAACTTGACGTTGTAGCGCCTATTCATTATTTTGAAATAAGGGATCAAATGATGACAAGCATAATAATATGCATTCACACTGCTCAAACTTCACACACCTCTTGCTAGATATTAGTTTAGTTTAGTTACATTCCTCAAAATTCCGTACAGTACACTGCCAATACATCCCTTTTGGATACATGGACACCTGGTCGGACCATTTTGGTAGCAATTTCGTTAATTTGGACAGTTGTTATAGTTTTGCCATGCTGTCCGGTTGTGATGTGTTTGTGATATTGTTATCGTTGTAGACCGTGATGAGAACGAAGGTATGCGGGCGAGACAGAGTGCTCGTTTCGAAACATTTCCGCGCGTGATTTTGATATTTCGCTGTTTAATGCTTATTTAAATGATATACATATACTGACACATCATTACTGATAACATACCGCGTTTTCAGGAAATGATTTCTTGCTGTAGCTTCGTTTTCATTTTTTGTTTAATGAAATGCTGTCTTATTTTGTAGATAATAAAGTTTATGTTGCATTTGCTCGTTTTAATGTAGCGCCGCGTCCCGCAGCCCCGCGAAGTCCGCCGGCGGGCGGCAATATGAGACAACCCTATGTAGGAATTATTCGAAACAATATAATACTTGTCAAAAAGTACTACCACCAGAAAATTATGGAATAAAAAGTATCGAGTATGATATTTTTTTCCGTGTCCGTACTTACGCTCACACTACACTTTTTTTTACATTTAGTGTTTTTGTAAATATTTAGTCTTTGATTCAATTTTTTATTTTATTCTATTATTATAATTTTTGTTTTTTTAATTTTGTTTTTATTATTCTATCTCATTATTGTATTATCTCATATTTATTTATTATTTATTATATTACCTGTAAAGTACCTGTAAAGATATAACTTTCTAAAGTAGGATTATTTTTAAGCTATGTCGACATATTGAATTCGAACTATCCTCAAAAAGATTCTCGAGTCTCGCTGATGTACCAAGTATCACAAAGAATAATAAAGATATTGTTGGTTTACTTAATATAAGTGTTACTTCACACGCAAATAAAATCGGGCTAAGGATTATGTTTTTTTTTCAGGTTTAGTGAAGCATGAATTCAAAATTAAGCTGGTTTGGTTAAAACTGAATTGCATTTAGACACGAAACGGTTGTTGAATTTTAATTGTTGATCTTTTTAACGTACGTTAATTGGTTTCACCTTCTAATTTTTAAGCATATTATAAAATACACGTGCTTGATTATTTAATGATAAAAAGCAAAAAAGCCATACATATAACGAGTTTTGTTATTTTTTTTACAATATGCTATATTGTGCAGTCTATATACCTAGAGTGGTGGTATTCCAGTGAGTGAAGGGTTGCTCCTCAATTGAGAGGGGTGGCGATTAGAACCATGTAGCGGCATGTACCTTTGCATGAAAAAAAAAAAAAGAAATCGATGATCTATCAAGTTAGCCCAAGACTACGCTCATGTGTCACGCGAGCCCTAGAATTCCTTAATTGTCACACATCTGTGGAACACATTGTTGGTTCATATTTATTAACCTTGCTTGTTCAGTGTTTGTTATTTGCTTAGTGTGAAACTAAACACAACCTGTTTATGTGATAAATAAATAAATAATCAATTTAAAAATCAATCGTAAATAATAACTATGAGTTTAAAATAAAATTCACTAACTTTGTTTACTTTCTTTTTACATTTTTATTTACGGATAATCTTGGTACCTAACAATTACATCGTTCTTATGTAGATAATAAATTTTTTATAACTACGGCCTAGGTAACGTACTATAAAAAAAATTGAATATTGAAGTTTCTTTAGTTTTGAATTGGATAATAATTGTGGTTTTTATGTCTATTTCCAGGCCATCAAACTTGCCAGCAAAATGCACAGAAGAGGCCCTTAGACATAAGGCTGAACACGCACGGATGGTAGAAGCAGCTCGAAGGCGAGTGGAGAAGGAAGCCGCGGCGCGACATGCTCGTCTACAAGAATCCTTACGCCAAGAGGAGAGGCTTGCGCGGCATGCGCGGGAGTGGACACAGAATATTCTGCTTGATTGGCATAATATGTGAGTACTTATTCGTAATGCATTGGGTCAATTTATGTAATTTATAATATGATGATGATGCTATTTTCTTCGGTCCTATGCAATCTCTCGCCAATTGATGGCTGGTAGCTCGCGCAGGCCCGCCTCCACGGCATCGCTGCAACGATACCTGGGACAACTAACTGGTCTTCATCCAGGTGGACCCATATGGGCTCTCTTCACGTTCCGATCCTCTCCTATCCCTGTGTGATGTAGCATAATTAATTAACTATGTACATGATATTAAAAAATAAATCGGTCAAAAACATGGAACACAATAGTGTTAACGCCTAGATAACACATTCTTAACAATAAAGAAACTATGCCGTCTTTTTTGCTTGTAATAAACCGCCATTATCGTACATTATGTTCATTGTACATTTGACCCACATGGCATGGTATTTACCAACTATGTATGTATGTATATTTATGAACGCTGCGATTAGATTGTCTCTGAAGACAGATTACCTTCGTTGATACGGTTTGTTGAATGAGCTGCACTTAAGATAACAGTGGAAAATTGGTTCTGAGTCATTTTATGGTTACAAGTAGTTCCTGTTTCGGTTTTGCAGGGTAAGGGTGCTGGTGAAAGTACAGGCACATGGGACTTGTCAACTTATGTCTCAGGGTGACGGGCGCAGTGGCAGTGCGCCTCAGATCTTTGCGATTTAAAGCTCTGAGTGGCACTGCAACTGTTATGGACAGGCGTATAGCTTACCATCAGGCGTAAGACTTGTTCGTCCCGTCTCTTGATATTATAAAAGAAAAGCATTCGTGTCGATAATACTCTATGTAAAATACACGTGCTAAAGCGTACCGGTTAGTGGGGGTCCTACCCTTAGGAAGGTAATGTTAATACAGTTTGTGCGATTTAGACCTCAGCATTGTTTTCCTACGCGTACATGTTTAAGTTGTACAATTGTCATTCTTTTGTGAATAAAAAAATATCCTTTTTTTACAGGAAAAATGCAAAACGCACCCTAGAACTGTGGTGGAGCGGGCTTCCACCTTCAATCCGAGGCCGCGTGTGGCAACTAGCCATAGAGAATAAGCTGAAAATCTCACACGAGCACTATCAAGAACTCGTCCTTAAAGCGAAACAGAAGCTACACGAAGCACAGTCAAGAAGAAAACGATTAAAAGTCAGCACCCAGGAATCTTGCTGCTGCAAGAAAGGGACAAAAGAGAATCAACCAAAAAATGACGAGAAGTCACAATTCAAAGGAGAAATGGCCTCAAAACTCGACGATTGCAAACCTAAAATACCAGAGAAATCAAAAACAGATGACAACCTGGAAGAAAAACCTCGTTTGAGTATACCGAGAAACTTAAGTGAGCAAAATCTTAAGGCTCAAGAGAAAGTTACATCCAAATGCTGTTCGAAATCAAACCCTAATCTTTTAGATTATAGTGACGAATGTTCTATGGAGTTAATTCAGCTGGACATAGCAAGGACGTTCCCCCATTTATGTATATTTCAACCTGGTGGACCCTATTTTGATGTTTTGCACGAGTTGCTCGCTGCCTACGTGTGCTATAGGCCGGATATTGGGTATATTCAGGTAAGTTATTATTGTTATAAGTACACGCACAGGCAATTAATGCCGGTCGCTAATAAAATTTGAAATGTTTTGGCAATAACAAAGCTACGACTCTGTATTAGTGTACGTTTAACGTAACTTCTCAGCAGTGATCGGAATTGCGATGAACATTTTCTTAGTATGGACATACCCATTTCATCATCAATGCGTATAAATTTCTACACATTCCAAAATATAGGTAATAATAATAATAACGCAAACACACTCATAGCCGCACTTGGGAAATCCTCTAAAGCGGGTGCCATGGACACACACATAGACAACCACAAATTAATGTCAACTTATGTCTCTGGGAGTCGGGCGCAGTGGCAGTGCCAGATCTTTGCGATTTTAAGCTCTGAGTGGCACTGCAACTGTTTTGGACAGGCGTGTACCTTACCATCAGGGGCAGGACTTGTTCGTCCCGTGACAAAAAAAGATAATTTCCATTGAGAACGGATAATTGATGCCGTTGTCTGGCACATTACATTAATTAGTGTTATAAGGAAAAAATAGGAGTTATAGCCTTAAGACGCTAACGTTACGAAATACCGCAGGGCATGTCGTTCATTGCCGCCGTGCTGATCCTTAACATGGAGGCGCCACAGGCGTTCGTCTGCTTCGCAAACCTGCTGGACGGGCCAGTGTTGAGGGCTGCCTTCACGCGTGACGGTGCTGCTATGCAGGTACATTTACTTTGCTATATCAACCGATGTTTGTTCCACCTACTGTACAAAGAGGGTAAATGTGCATCAAACTTTTCGAAAACAGTCATCATGCTGTTCGGATACGTCATAGTGACCCGGGGCCATTTTTAAATTTGTTGTCCCCTTTATTTTCACGATTACGAAAGTAGACCTGCCATCGCCATCTCTGTGTTGTTCAGGATATCGTTGTTTCAAACAGTTGAATGTATTTTTTATTTTAAGTAAAAGAATTAATTTTGACGCCACTGCATAGGTTATGATTTAGTACTATTTGTTCTGTCATTATTAATTTGTCTTACTTATAAGTGGTGTCTATTCTATTTTTTTTTAATATAAAAATAAGTGCGAATTTGACATCCATCTCATCTGATGGAAAGTGACGACGAGCTCGACGATGTAGTACGCACACCTGCCTGCCATGCCTATTCACTCACGCCTTGAAAAGGTCCAATTTTAGCGTACGGGGAACAAGTCCGCAGGCAGGGAATTCCACTCCCTAGGCGCTCGCCATATAAATGTGGCGTACTTCACTACTTAAACAAAGCCTCACCGAGCTGGAATTAATAAGAAGAGTAATTAACCTTAGCTTAGAGGGAGGAAGCCTGGTGATTAATAATACAGGGATAATAACCCAAGTACTGACACTAGACTATCAATAGTGCATAACAGTAACAAAACTCTGTATTTTAGTCCTACATAAGTAAGCCTTGTGTGAGTAATGATAAAACTTATCATTCATTCATTCATTCCATCGAGTATATAACCAGAAATAGAGACAAAATGTCTCTTAGTTTGTTTGAAAAGTATTCTGCCAAATCATACGACAACTGCGCTCCGATTGGCCAGCCCGAATTCGAAACAATTGACGGGTGTCATCAATTGTTTTACTTCAATTTGACCAGTTTTACTAGAGCATTGCTATAATGGACGAATATTGAAAAATTACATATTTAATTACCAATGAAATGTGATACCGTTTCTTTTGTAATTAGACGTTTTGCTTTTTTTTCCCACACCACCGAATGGAATATTGTTAGAGATATTATCTTTATTACAATAAATATCAAATATTTTTGGAATATACGGAGACGTACCTGTGTGGTCAGTTGTTGGCGCTGTATTATTTCAGCTTTCTAATTTGTGATTTAAGCGCAAACGAGAGTTCATATTTAAAAATAATATAAGGCCCATTTACCTAATGAGTTGCTAGGGGTGGATGGCCGTTATTTCGTCTCTATTTCTGATTATATCGAGTTATAATCATCGAGTAAATTCATTCATTCATATTTATTATTAAAAAAAACCCCTTGTCGTTCAACATTTACGGTCCAATATTATTCACATATTTCAAAATTTTAAAGTTTCAATAATTGTGTCGTTATTCCTCAGCGGCTCTGGAAAGCGTATACAACCCTCCTCCGGCACAATCTGCCGTCACTAGCGGATATCGTAGCGCCGGAGCTGTACCTGCTGGAGTGGCTGTATACGGCGTTTGCGAAGGCCATGCCTCTCGATGCGGCCTGTCGAGTTTGGGATGTGTTTCTAAGGGATGGGGACACGTTTCTTTTTAATACTGCATTAGGTGAGTTATCGATTTAGTTGTAGTCAGAATAGAATAGAATATAAAGAACCAGAAAAAACTTTTTCTCAAACATTCTCAGAATTTGTTTGCATTACTTTCGAAAAGCGAACTCTTCTTTTCTTTAGTCTTCTATTATTTTCTTATATTGTTTGAGAAAATCACTATTAAGCCTCGGCGGGATAGGGAATTGCTTGCTCATACTCGTCCAGCATTCCCTTACTTCCCGGCCTCTGTAATATTGTAATGTGTAAGGCGAAAGAACTTTTACTTACCTTGTTCACCGACTAATCAACAAGTTACCACTGGAATTAGGTAATGCCTTAACAACCACTTATACAGATTGCCATGTTACTGCTTACATTTTTATTGAATGACAGAATGTTTCACCACTATGATGTTGAATTCTTTTTTGTTAGTTGACTCCACTAGTTTGTTATAATTATTAATACAAAGATCGAACACTTAGAAAAAATTCCTTCGATCCAGATGCTAACTAAGCCATGAAACGAACCAGCGCACCTCACAAATTCTTCTATGTGCTTGTTGTCGGATCTTGGATTTGGTTTTCAACGACTTTTTGCCCTAGCGCCATCTATGAGAAATCTATGAAACGTTATTGCTTATTAGCATTCATTTATACAAATTACTTAAATGTTGTATATGGTTCTTTTGTTAGCAATTAAACTTAACTTAACGTAACTTAACGTAATTCCACTTATGCCATTCTTCCATGAGGGGTGCGATATGTATTGTGTGAATACAGTTCGCATTACGACGCACCTTGTGGTTTAAAAGGCGGCTAGAAACATTGTTGTGTATTATGTTTTATATGGTAAATAAATTAAAAAATAAAAACGTGCTGCCAAATAAAAAAAGTGATCTGAATGAGTAATTCAGTCAATGTCCTCCAACGAGTTATTTATTTTTCCTTTATTAGGTTCAGCAACAGTTGTCGCATTAATTAAATGATGCGAATGAAGTTACACACTTGCCATCTATTTTAATTTCATCTAGTATTACTTATTTGACAGTAATTGTTTAGTACGAGAGAAGACTCCTTAGTGTCTGTTGCCATGCCGGAGCTATTCCTATGAACCAACTGAGCTACAAACAGAGTCAGCAAAATTTGCAATTTTTTATTGTGTGTTTGTCATAATAAAGGAACTAGTGGAGACTCCTTTCTTACATCACGCGTCCATCATAGTCATCGATTATATAACCAGAAATAGAGACGAAATATCGTTTCATTTGTTTGAAAACTATTCTGCCATATCTAATCTGCCATGTCACACTAATGTGCCCGAATTCCAAACAATTGACGAGAGTCGTCAATTGTTTCACTTCAAAACGGCCAGTTAACTTGAGCTTTGCTATAATGGACGAAAATTGCAAAATTACATATTTAATTACCGATGCAATTTGATTATGTTTATTTCGTAATTAGATGTTTTGTTGTTTTTCCCCACACCACCGAAAGGAACAGCACGCCATTGTTAGAGATAATCTTTATTACAATAAATATAGAATATTTTTGGAATATACGGATACGTAGACACAGGACAGTTGTTCGTCTGTCTTTATTTCAGTGCAAACGAGAGTTGATATTTATAAGTGATGTATCACTGTTGAGTTACCAGGAATGCATGGCCCTTATTTCGTCTCTATTTCTGGTTATATACTCGACAAGGACTTGGGTATTATATTAGACTCCAAACTTACTTTTGTACCTCAAATTGATAAGGCTATACTTAGGGCAACTAAAACTCTTGGTTTTGTACTCCGCAACAGCAGAAATTTCAAGAATCCTATTACAAAAATAATATTATATAATAGTTTTGTTCGTAGCACCTTGGAGTATGGATCTATAGTGTGGCGTCCGCATTATGCAACCCACACACTTAGGCTAGAGAGGGTACAGAAACGCTTCATTAATAATTTGACTTTCAAGGCCGGTGCTTCTAAAAGATTACGCTCTTATAAAATGAGATTAAAAACAATTTAAAATGATTTCACTCGAAAAGCGCAGGGATCTATTGGACCTAGCCTTCCTTCACAAAATATTCAACCACAGGATTGACTGCCCACAACTCA